ATGATACGAAAACATGAGAAACCATTGGAGCAGGATATAAAACGTTACCATGAATTTCAAATGTTTGGTGAATATGAATTGAATACAAGGTCTAAGTCTAGTATCGATATAAAAATTTTAAAAATATATAGTGGTGGACCATTGCCAGAAGAATGTATAAGACCTGAATTTAAAATTGCTATAAAAGATAATTTAAAAATTAATATAAAATCATTTTCTGATGCTTACATAGGTTATACTTTTGGAGGCAAACTTAATATATTTAAGGTTGTTAATATATGCGTTCATAAATTTACTAATAAAAAAGTATTTGTAACTCGATCATTCAAAACAATTCAGCCATTTTATGAAAAACCAATAAATAGTATGAAGATAGGTATAGCTATTGTGAATGAACTGTCTAATCACCTTCTTACAATTGATATAGAAAAATGTAACTATTCAAAATATGTTATTCTAAACAATAGTCTAGGCAAAGTTGCTTTCCCTATTTTACATTCATCTAATAATTAGTTCATTTAAAAAGAAATTGTAACTAATACTGTCTTTATACCAAATTACAATATTATATGATTTAGTTTTTCGTAAATATTGATTAAAATAGTACCTATAACATTGTACCTAATTAAATTATAATATGATAAAATACTTAATTACCTACCCTAATATATATTAGTACTTTAAATACTTGGACTTTAATGGGAGGTACCTATTATGTTTTTTATTTTAAACATTTAATTCTTTAAAATAGCGTTGATATTTTTATTTTGTACCTGATATTTATATTTTAAAATTATAATTTTGTTGTACTAGTTGATATAATTTATTTATTATACCATAACTATAGTTTTGTTAATTTAAATAATTTAAGCTTATTTTTAGTTTTCATAAAAATAAAATAAAAATGGCAACAACATATTCTGTTGTACATTTTTATGGAAATAACAGTGTAGCAGCTGTCCCAAAATTTTGGTATTCAGTTAAAAATGGTACTTGCGCCTGGCCAAAGAAACCTCACAATCCCAAAAAATTGATTGCGCTTCACAGCATACCAAACAAAATTGAATATGAATATTTAGAAGCAAGAGTAATGAGCTCAGGAATTGGTAAACATTAGAAAAATAATTGTGTTATTATATAATGTAATGTATAACTAATAATATGTCATATATATATATATATATATTTTTTTTACTTTTATTTAGAATCCTTAACAATTGCTGAAGCAAAGGCTAAAAAAGCAATGTATATTTCAGATCTTGATGAAGGTGATGTTAACCCTAAAACGAAAAAACTAAAACCATCAATTAATTGCCCTGTTTTCAGGTAAATATAATAATAATTTATATTTAATTTGTATAAGGTATTGAAATAGATAGTGTTCTAACTTATATATCAATAGAATAGAATATGATTTGCAAGCAATATGATATATATACAATATGCATTTTAATTACCAAAATAAATTTTAGTACTATAATAATATTATTATGCTTGATAAATAATTTATAGAAAATGAAATTGGTCTTGATGATGTGTCTCAAAAGTCTGTACTAATTCCTGAAGTTAATACTGAGAAATATAACTATAGTCAACCGGCCACTTCTTCATATAATGGGAAGTCTTTTGTTGATAAATCGCCTGTTACAATGAGTGGTTGGTCACCATCTCCTAGAAAGGCTGCTGATAGAGGTAACTATTATAAAGTAACAATTAATAGGTAAGCATTGAACAATTATCTATTGGAATAGGTAGTGTTCTAACATATTATACCAACCGAATATATATTATGATTTGCAAATACATTATGCAATTTGCATCTTAATTATTAAAATAAATTGTAGTACTACATTTATATTTATAATTAATGATTTAGGTATAGAAAATTATATTAGCCCTGATAATATGTCTGAAAATATAGAAATTGATACTAAGAAATGGAGCTTTGGTCAACCCTCTTCATATGGAAAGTCTTTTGTTGATAAATCGCCTGTTACAATGAGTGGTTGGTCACCAACTCCTAGAAAAGCTGCTGATAAAGGTAACTTATAAAGTAACAACGAATAAGCATTGACAAATAAACTGTCCATAAATAGGTGTCTAAACTTTGTCTTTGAATAATTAATAGACCAGATAAGAAGTGCATCCGTGGAAACAATAGATTCATGTACTAAAAAAGTTATCTCCCCTACAGGTGTGTTCCAAAATATAAGTTAAGACTATTTATAGATATCAAAGTGTGCAAATAGTTAAATAATATGTTAATATTGATTTTCTTTTCAGTTTCAAGAAGATTTAACTTTGGCAATAATAAAGAAAAATCATGTAAATATTATAGTGTGATATATAATTATAATAATTGTATGATATTATAAGCTTTATTAGGAATACATTTTTTTTTTTTTAATTTGCAGCCAATAAAGGAAATTTTGACATGCTGTCGGATGAAGAATCTTTTCAAACAGCAATTATAAAAAAGAAAGTTTCCCCTGGTAAGTTTATTATTAACTGTTATTAGTTGTATATATTATTATTATTTATTTATTTGTTCATTCTAGTTATAAATAAAGTTACACATGATCATGAACAAACATTAAAGTCAAATACTAGGGATAGAGAAAAAAGTAAAAGCAGATAATATATATTCACGGTCTTAGAAGATCTACTAAGACTGCGTGGTTATATATAAGTTTTAATTTTTTACATGCAAAAATATTATCTGATATTCTATAATGTATTTACAATTTTATTATAGGTTATACACCAATACAAACAATTGGTAGTGGTTCTCAAATCTGCAGTAGTAATTCGGCTGTTGATAATTGTTAGTATAATATAGCGTAAAATATTATTACCTACTAATAACAAATAGTGTCCTGTATAACTGTAACTGTATTTATATATTATACAGTTAAAACTTTAACACCATAAATATTTTAGAATGAACAGTATAGGTACTTTATTAATGGACTATCATATTATGCAATTGTGCGTTTATTGCCGGCGTCATAAATAGTTATGGGCAAATTAATAAATCTTAATCAGCTAGCTACGCCACACATATTTGATGATGATCTTCAAAACTATTAAAATTTTTATATTTTTTTTATTTTCATTTTGAAGCAAATTTATTATGCTATACAATAACTATAGTTACACAATTAAATCAGATATGTATTTCACATATAATAATTTAATTATTCTTTTATTTACTACATTTTTATATTAAATAATAAAAATGGTTTGTACGTTTCTAGTTTAATTTTGTATTTTATTTGATAGCGAACACAATATAAATTAGCTTTAAAAAATAAAAATACATAAAAAGTTGAATATATAGTCTTAACAATACATCATAAATTAATGTTAAGATTTATTAATAAATTGCCCATAGCAAAATAAAAGAGTTAGCCCCCTCCCCTCCACAACATAATTGAGTGTCATGTTATTATATGATTATTTATCTAATTTGATAACTTAATTCTTATTATAGGTACTCAAAAAATATTGAAATCTTTGTTAAGAAATGTAATGTATCTTCTAACTGACATTAAACATATAAGTATGCAACAGATGGAAATTTTATCCAAACTAGATAATAGTAGAAGAAAGGAAGAAACGGAACCACATGGTGCGAACCAAGAAGCGTCGACATAGTCGAATTTCCACTCGCGCCAAGAAACAGCCCTACTGGGTATCCACAACTTCGTACATTCTTGAACTATGGGAAGTCGGAGACTTCCATCTTCGAGGGGAGGAATGTAGTAAACCGACGGAGTCGCTTTCCTATATTCAATATTTTAATTACATTTCTCATGATGCGGCACGCTGGACAACAACAAGACTATTAATCTTTTTTTCAATACCTTGGGTTTGGCAGCGCACTTAACGATTAATGTACGAATCTTCGCTTTACCAAAATAATGCAAAAACAAACCTATAAAGGCACTCAATCTTCGCATGGCCAAAATAATGCGAAAACAAGACTATTAAAGTTTTAATAGTTTTACGTGGAATAAGACTATAAATGTACTCATCTTCGCAGGGCCAAAGTAATGCGAAAGCATTAACATTAAAAGCATTAAGGGGCCTGCTCGCGATTTTTCAAATTTTCCGCAATTCTATAAAATTTGAAAATTAAATTTTATATTTTAGTTGCCACCTCAATTATAAGACTTTTCCACTAATCTACTACCCAATACCTATTTAGGGGGGGTTGATAGGGTGTATTATATCGGTCAAAACACAGTTTACAGGAAAAACTCTCACACCTCGTAGATTGGTCCGATTTCCGAAATTTTTTTTTTGTTAGATAGGGGAATATTTTTACAGGGCGCATTGGACTTCGATTTTTGATTACGTCGCTAAAAACAAAAAATAATACAAGAACTAAAAAGTTGTAAAAATTGATTAAATTCAAACTTGTAACATAAGACTTAGAAAAATAATGTTGAAAATCCAAGTCCAATGCGCCCTGTAAGAAGTCTTCCTCTATCTAACAAAAAAAAAATTACGGAAATCGGACCAATCTACGAGGCGTGAGAGTTTTTCCTGTAAGGCATGTTTTTGAGCAAAAAAACAGGTCGCGTGCAGGCCCCTTAATAGGTTTTCGCAGAAACGAACTATTAAATTGTTATAGTTCAGGTCTTTTGGCAATAACAGCATCTAGCTCCGGCTCCTTTCAGATATCCATCTCCTTGACTCTACCGTGTACGTTTATATCCTCATAGATTTCATATAAATATAAGATGATGTCTATAGCAAAATTAGAATTAGTTTAGAGTTTGCACTACGTACATACTGTTCCGTAACTAACTTCTCGGGCAGATGCTTTTCGCTCTGTCCTCAAATTTATATTACACTTAATTGTGATCATTTACTTTTTAAAACGTTAATAAAACTACTTATACCTAACTTGTGTAACTTATCTCTGCAACCTTTTCTCCTAGTCAACCGTCAACGTCTTTGAACTCAAAAATATAAGCGTTAGTGAGGGATCACTACACTTCCATTTCATTTATTCTTTTATCGGCTCTGTTTGCTGTATTTTGCAACTTATTTATATTATTTATTATCGCTGTTTCGCTTTGTTGTATTTTCACCATTTCTTTGTCCACATCATGTACTGTTGACTGTACTATCCGCGTTTGTTGTTGCATATCATGAATTACCCTAATTTGTTTTTCGGTTATTTCGTTTATTTTCTTATCAAAAAAATCATAGTCTTCATCTGAACATATTCCAAACAATGTTTTTGATAATCTACCAATTCCGTTTATCAATCCTCTTCTGTAACGTTCACTTCTACTAACTGCATAATTTATCTGTTGTCGCGTTTTCTCTATATCATGGATATATAACGTCGTTGTTGTATTAAATTGCTCGCATAAATACGACCAAATTACAATGTGTTCTATTGGAACTATTTCTGTATTTTTTGCTATCTTTAAACAATGTTGTACCGTTTCTCTTTGAAATTTCTTTATTTGGTCAAAATTATCATCATACGTGGTTAAATTCACATAAACTGACAATTTCCATTTTGAATTTGTTGTTTTTACATTCGTCAAATGATTAAAAAAAATTCCTGATGATGATTCAATTTTTTGTATTTGATAATTTCCTGTTAAATTTGTTGCCATGATTGGTTGTATGATCAGTATCCTGTAATAACAAGATATCACTGGTTTAATATTTATACTTCTTTTACTGATTACATAGTTTTAATAGATTTTTATGTACTTTAACTAATTTTTGTCCTCTGACAATTGTTACATTTTCATTACTATTTATTTGTGCTATTACATATGGTCCTATCCATTTCTGTGCTAACTTATTTTTTTGTTGTTTTTCCATAAGCCAAACTTTGTCATTTATTTTTAATCTCAGTGGATTAACTTTATTATCATATCGTCCTTTTGTATTTTCTTTCGAATTTACTATACGTTGTTTTGCAATTTCATAAGATTTTTGAAATTTTTGCTTAATTTCATAATTATACCTTGGTTCGGGTGTCTTCTTTAATGACGCAGGTATTTTCCCTGGAAATCCATAAAGTAGTTCATACGGTTGGAATTTTGTCATTTCATGCTCTGTTGTATTATATACATACATTGCATATGGAATAAATTCATCCCAATTCGCTAAATCTTTGTTGACATAATGTCGCAAATAATTCCCTAATGTTGAATGGCTTCGCTCTAATGCTCCATTACTCTGTGGTCTATATGGTGTTGTGTTGAACTTGGACATTTTTAATAGTTTATATACTTCTGAAAAAATTTTACTTAGAAACTCTGTGCCTTGGTCTGATACTATTGATTCTGGAATTCCATGTATACAAACAAATGAGTTCAAAAAACTATGCGCTACAGTATTCGCTTCATGGCATACCATAGGCGTTGCAATGCTAAATTTTATTAAATTATCTTGCATTGTAAGTACATATTTATTCCCTTTGTGTGTAATATGAAGTGGTCCTACTATGTCCATAAATATTTTTTGAAATGGTTTGTCTGCTGTACTTCACTTCCGATAACCATCGGTTGCTTTGTATGCTTGTTTGAAGTTTTATTCTTTTGACATGATTGACACTTCTGTACATAATCTGCTACTGCTTTTGACATTCCTGGCCAATTATACAGTTTTTTAATTTTTTTTATATTACTCAAAATCCCTCTGTGTCCTGCCAAAGGATTCTCGTGCATTTATTTTATTATAATTTTCTTTTCCTGATCCGTAAGTTAATTTGGTGTAAATATTTATATTTTTATACTAGTGCCTTTATACAAATATCTTAACATTATTCTTACTGTTGCCCAATCGATCTGAAAAATTTGATCACCTGTTTTTGATACTGCTAAATCTGTAATTTGATTGTTTAGACAAAATGTTTTTAAATTCTGTAGACCATTATACACATCTTCGTAAGTAATTTGACTTTTTTCTTTCTCTGATAAAATAATATATATTATGTAACGGTTACCTTCTTTGAAATACAATAAATCTGTAATTTTTTTATTCTGATTTCTTTCCAGATTCCCGAATCGTCGACGGAATTCCAGTGCCGATCCTTCTTTTAATGTCAATTCCTGTGATACATAATGTACGAGATGTGAATGTTCGTCTTCAAAAATATTACCAGCTATTTCTACAATATTCACGTTTTGGACTATATTTGTCTTAATATTATCCATATACTCATTATATGTTTTACTGCTTACCACTTGTTCCCCTTCAATTTGCATAATTTGTGGTATTCTACTGAGAGCGTCGGCATTAGTATTTAATAAGCCTGGCTTATAAATAATTGCATACTCATACTCTTCCATTGCTAGTCTCCAATGCATCAGTCTTGATCCTGGATTCTTGTGATTAACCAACCACCTGAGAGGCTGATGATCTGTCATTATATAGAATTTTCTTCCCAGTAAATATGGTCTTAACTGTTTTAAACTCCATACAATAGCTAATAACTCTTTTTCTGTTGTACCATAATTTTGTTCAGCTTTATTCAGTACCCTTGATGAATAAACGTTTGGGAAATCTTCCCCTATCGTACCCTGCGAAAGAACTGATCCAATTGCAAAGTTACTCGCATCGCATGTTACATTAAATGGTCTATCGAAATTTGGATAACTAAGAATCGGTTCACTCACTAACACATCTTTTAATGTTTCAAAGGCCTGTTGACACAGATTTGTCCAATCATATGGTATATCATTTTTTAATAATGAGGTTAACGGTTTTGCCATTTTACCATAATTTTTTATAAACCTATGGTAATAACCTGATAGTCCTAAAAAACTTTTTAATTGTTTTTGGTTCTGGAAAATTTTTTACACTCAAAATTTTTGATGGATCTGGTTTCAACCCTTGTTCCGTGATAATATGTCCTAAATATATAACTTCATGACGCAACAATTCAAATTTCATAGGTTGTACTTTCAAATTATAATCCCTAAACCTTTGGAAAATTTTCTTTAACTTTTCACTATGATCTTTCAAATCATGAGTATATACAATTACATCATCTATATATACGAATGCTTTTACTGCATTTATTCCTAATAACACTGTGTTCATTAATCTTTGGTAAGTACTCGGCGCTCTTTTAATCCGAAAGGCATCTTAAGAAATTCATAATGTCCTTTATCTGTAGAAAATGATGTCTTAGCTCTATCATCTTCACTTGGTGGTATCCGCTCGCTAAATCCAAGGTCGTATAGTATTTAGAATTGCCTAGTTGATCTAAAATATTATTTATATTTGGAATCGGAAACACATCTCCGATCGTAATATTATTTAATTTCATGAAATCCACACAGATACGAAATTTTTGTTTCCCTGAACAATCCACCTTCTTTGGTATTACTATTAACGGGGAACGCCCCGTTCCAAGGTGAAATACTTTTTGTAATGATTCCATCTTTTTCCATTTGATCTACCTGCGTTGATATCTCTTTTTTGTGATTTTGTGGTAACCTATATGGTTTAATATAAATTGGTTGAATATCGGGTGCTGTTCTAATTCGATGCTGTATTGCTGATGTTCCATCTAATCTGTCACCTTCTAATAAAAAAACATCGGGAAATTCAATAAATATATTTTTCAATGATTGGTATTCCTCCTTGTTGAGATGCTGCAGTCTTAACGACTTCTCCAATAATTGTACCCGATTTTCATTATCTGTACCTTCTGTAAATTTAGTACACACTTGTATTTTTGCCTCTTCAAATTTTTCGTACAATAAACTACCAAATCTACTGGCTGTAACTCAATAAAATTCTCGTTTTGATTGACAATTTTCGTTAACACTTGCCGATTCCTTACTGTAGTTACTACATTACCACATTGTACTCGATTTTGCAATACTTGTGAATAAATAATCACTGTATCTTTTTCCTTTATTTGACTGTCTGTAATTTTTACTGAAATTATCATTTCTGATCTCGGTGGTACTACTGCAATGTTCAAATTATCTACATGCGGACTGTCTTGATTTACTACTATAAAATTGTCTTCAGTAAGTATCGACGTTATTTCATTTTTTGCATAATCAATTGCTATCTTGTTGTCTTCTAAAAATTATTTGCCTAAAATTCCATCATGAGGTATTGGAAAATTATTACTAACTACTTGAAACTTTACTTGTCTTCTTTCTTCCCCAAAATTTACTGTTATATTTACCGACCCAATTGTGTTTAAAAAATACTCATTAATCCCTTTTAATCGATATAAAATGCTTTCGTTAACTTTGACGTCGTCTTTTAATGATAATAAGTAATAACTTTATTATATTTACTTCACTACCGGTGTCAAGTAAAAATTTTGATTTCTGATTAATAAATTCCGTAGCTTGACATATAATGTGATCTTTAAAAAGTTGAGCTTTTAATTTGAATGTTCTAGAAATGTTACGGCTGTTGCTTTGATTTCCTTTACCGATCGCTCGCCGTTCTGAATCGACCATGTCTCGTTTCCCAAAGTTGATGGTTCTTTCATTGAACTTGAATTCGCTTGACCAGCTCTTTTTTCATTGTTATATTTTAATTTTCTGCACATACCAATTTCATGACCTAGTTTCTTACAATATTTACAAATAATTATTTTGTTATTATAAGCACTATTACTTTCTGCCGTTTGCCGATGAATATTTGCTGACCCGTTGTTTGGTTTCGAATTTTGGCCCGTACTTGTAACCCAGTACTTTTGATTCTCTTGAGACTGTTTTATAAACTGATGATTTGATCTTGACCTACATACCTTGGCCATGTGACCTACTTTACCACAGTTGAAACACGTAATTCTTGCTGCTTCTTGTTTCGGAATTTTTGATTGTGTTTTCTTATCTGATTTGTATGACGTTTCCTCCTGCTAAGCCACCGCAAATGCTTCCTCAATTGTACTCGGATGACTTGAGTAGTAGTAATTTGGGGTTTCTGTAACACTTTTTACTGGGGAAAAAAAAAAGTTCAAGGCGGAAAGTCCCCCTTGCAGCACATTCGATCACCGTAAAGGTAAAAATTCTAAAAAGGTATGTTGGGGCTTCTGTAACACTTTTTACAGGGTAAAAAAAAGTTCAAGGAGGAAAGTCCCACTTGCAGCACATTTGATCACCGTATAGGTAAAAATTCTAAAAAGTATGGTTGGGGCTTCTGTAACACTTTTTACAGGGAGATGAAAAAAGTTTAAGGAGGAATGTATGCCTTACAGTGTAACCAATCTCCCTAACATTTTCTAGAGAAAATTCAAAACGGTTTTTAATATAATTTTCTGAAATAAATAAAAATATTTTTTTTCTTATCATTATATATTTATTTTTTAATCAGTTAATAGTATTTTACAACAAATATTAAATATATACAATTTTGATTTATTATTTACACTAATTTTCTTACTTCTCTAGTAAAAGGTACATAAAAATACTAAAAAAAAATCAACCAAAATTATTACAAACATATAATGGTACAGAGTTTTATAACAGCGAATTTCAAAGTACTATGAAAAAATATAATATTAAACATTATTCAACATACAGTAGTATAAAATCTGGAATGGCTGAAAGAGTAATTAAAACTATAAAAAATAAAATTTACAAACATTTTACATCAACAGGTTCATGGAATTGGTACAATTCAATTTCAAAATTAGTATATGATTATAAAAAATCACAAAACATTCAACAATAAAATGTATACCACACGAAGCTCGGATCAAGCCGATTACAATAAAAAAAATTAATACATCAAAAAAATTTAAATTATATAATTAATGATAAAGTAAGAATATCAAAGTATAAACATAATTTTAGTAAAGGTTATACACCAAATTGGACAACAGAAGTTTTCACTTTTTCTAAAGTTTTAAATACAGATCCGATAACATATCAACTAAAAGATAGTTTAAATAATTTAATATTAGGAAATTTTTATGTACAAGAATTAAAAAAAATTTTTCCCGATACTTTTCTCATTGAACGTGTTATAAAAAAACATAAAAAAAAATTATATGTAAAATGGCTTGGTTTTGACAATAGTCATAATTCGTGGGTAAATGAAAACGACACTTTAAAATAGTTAATAAGTGAATTTGTAATTAAACGAAATGTATCAATCAATACATATTGTCCAGATTTTATAAACTATATCATCATTACAATGTACAGTATTGATTCAATTAATTAATTTAATTTTTAATTAAATCGTAAACATTTTTAATACTGTATATACTTTATAATTGTATTAAATCTGATAGTCGTTTAACCACTAAGCCTCTAGCAATTTTCCATTCCTTATACAACTCTACGTTACTGCAGTTATCACGTTTTAAAATGCAGCAACCTCTATCTAAATCAAAATACAGTTCCCTGAGTTTTTCAATATCGATTTCCATCAGATTTGGCATTTTAGGTTTGGATCGATTATAACACATTGAATATATAATGGTAATGGCAAACTGCCCTAAAAAGTAGTAAATAATTTATACACACTGTCACACTGAACACACTAAATAAACGTATAAAATCCACAATAACAATCATTATACCATACACATGTATAAATTATATATTTTATTAATAATATGATTTATCTAACTGATATTGTGTAGTACTGGATGCAATAGAAAGTTTATAAAGATTTCATAAATTTTAAATTTTAGTCAAAACCAAAGTAATTTTATTAATTTCTCTGGGTTAGGTTCCCACACAGCATATTCCAATGAAAACAATTAAATAAATATTTAGTTGTAATTTTAAATTAAATATTTGTAACAAAATATTTACCCAATATTTAGTAAACTTTTAAATTAATTATTGAAATTTTAATAATTATTATATATTTATTAAACATTTGATATTAAATGCAATTAAGTCAATAATAATTAAATATTCATAGTTAAATATTTATTTCAAGTTTAACAATAACCTTAATTTATATTTTTGTAAATTTATAATTAAAATATATTTAATAAACTTAAGATAGTACAATTTTAAAAATCAATGATATTAAGATATATAAAAAATATTTGTTTATAAATATTTAATAATTATAGACGTTAGGTGTATTTTATGTATAATTAATAATTATAATTCTATATAAAGTGCTATTTTATAAGCATGCTATCTCTATTTTTATGTTTATATTTAAATTCTGATTTTGGTTTTTTTAAATACAGTTGAAGACAATATTTTGGAATACTTGACATTTTTTGTAACACATTGCAGAAGGATCCTGTGACAATCTTCGGTTTATCAAATACGGACCCCACCTTTTATTTTATTTTTTTAATTATTCAGTAGATATTTTTGTTTGATAATTTTGATTCATCTAAAATCGAAATTCGTATACAATTAGTATTTGAGTTCTATATATTATATTACTTTGTATACTAAATAATAGGATACTATTATGTAGTCCATATTATATTATTTCAAGTATTACTATATATCGTAATATTATAATGTAATCATTTTAATAGTTCAGAAACTATACTCATTAGACTTTTGATGCATAACAGTTTTTAAGAAAATCATCCACTAAATAATTTAAAGTAAAAAGGGGTTCGCATTTGAAAAATAGAAGTTTGTATTATCATCACCACAGAACACTTCTTAAGTAGTAAAAAAAATATCAGGAATTTGAAAATATGATCTTACCTATGTAAACTTAAAACTGCTAAGAATTCGAAGAAATGTACCTACTATTAAAGCTAAAATGAGGTTGTGCATCCTTAACAATAATTACCTTGTATATAATATAATATAGATATATCGTATATATAATGACGTGACGTTTAAAAGTTCGTATTTGCATATTGCGGATGATATAAATTGATAAATGTATAAAGTACAAACTGAGATAGTGAGATTATTATATTATTATTATAATTTAATATGGTTTTACATTTGTGTAACATATTTGTACTTCGTAATAATGTTATATTTTGAATTATGATTTTGAAAAAAAATGGTCTTTGAAACAATTCATAATACATGCAAATATAGGTACAGAACATAATATATTATAGCAGTCGTGGAGCCAATTTTGTTTGGGATTGACCAATTCTACGTAATTTATTTCGATAAAATTGTATTTGTAATAAAATAGTTTCATGTAAAAAGGCGTACACGGTTAGTGTTACACTGTTACGTACTTACGTATATAAGTTAGGTACCTATATTATTATTTACGATAAGTCGATAAACAAATTGCAAATTTAAGAATATTTAGTTTAGTTAGGTAGGTATAATAGTTTAGCTATAATATAATTACTAATAGTAAATATCAAGTAATACCTAATATAATACAAATCTAAACTAACAGACCTGCTTATTTATGACGTCTCATTTCCATCGTATATTACATTACGATTTATCATTGAATTCTAATATAATACGTCATCCACCATGGCATCACAGTAATTTTTACCTACCCTTTTATTAATACTAAAATAAGTTATAACTATAATAACAATAAACGACAAACGTAAATTATACTGTCATACATATTTTTTAATTAATAATTAGTAGGTAGGTATATATAGTATATTAGTATCTACCTAGGTATTACCTATGTGATTACTTATAATACATAGTAATTGCTCATTAGATATTATTTATGAATGTGCCCTATATAGAGTTAGAACAAATTTGTGTCTCTGAGTATTATATATATGCTATAAGTTATAACATATTATCATTATAGCATAATAATAGACATCGGTTCTTATTTAATTATTGGCCTTTATAGTAGTGAGATACAAGTCCAGACGCCAGTCATCCACTGTGACGGACAATTTATATTTATAATTATGAAATAAAACAGTAAATATTGAAATTTTTATTTGGTTTATGCTTCGACAGCTGAGGTCGTTAGCTTGGGGTACTGTGGGGGAGGGTACTGTAGGTTTTTAACACGTGTGTGTATGTGTGGCAATGATTTGTCACTAAAAATCAGGGGTGGTCACCCATCCGGGAGCTAGTGACACCGGCCAGTGTGTACACTCAGAACGGGTTTCGTAACTGAATGCACACACCGCGCCACAAGGCACAAATGTTAAAATTATTACATGATTGTGTTAATTTGTGTATCATTATGATAATCGTGGGTCGTTGGAAAACTTGGAACGCACGGCGTACACACACACACACACACAATGATACAGATATAACATATATAATTCGACTGCGGGCGACGATCGTTCATAATAATATTCGTATCGGAACAATAATAGATAACGGTCGTCAAAAACCCACAGTTATACAAAAATAAATTCTACATTATCACATCTCCCTGTCCGTAACGCGTATATAGAGGCGTACACCGTAGACCGTAGTTGATAATATTGTCAATTGACAACAATTTTCAATCGTCCACTGTCCAGTTATTCACCCGAGGTACTCCGACTTGTGACACGCCTGCATAATATAACCACAACTCCAAGCGAACTACAGCTCTTGTGACTTGTAGTAACTACTGTCTTACTATAGTCTAGAAACAAGAGACAAGACTGAAGACAATATTATTATTATATTGTTTAAGGTTTCTATAGTGCTTTACCGTTTTGTTTGAAGTGTGAACGCGTAACGAGACAACAATACATAAATCATATATACACACAGGTATGTACTATTTTAAAACTATAATAATATATTATGCTTCGCCACTTGGGTAGATTTTTGTTGTATGTTAAATATAAATAATTTTATTATTCTATTTTATTTGTTTAGAGGTTCCTAGGTAGGTACCTATATAACGTAATATATTTTGTGATAAACATCAAATTTTTCAATATTCACGTCACTGTTTAGTAGTAGGTAATTATAAAATATTCTTACACACATAGGTACCTAATAGTTTTAATTCATTCTAAAAATTATTTTATTTTATAATTATGACATCACATCCTAGTAAGTCTACAAAACGTAGAAGGTTTTTGGAAGACTTAGAGGTCACTAATGTGTATATTGAAAATCCAAATCAGAATTCTGTGCTTTTTGATAATATTTTAGAAACTCAAAATACTACAAGTGAATTAATTGTACCTGACAATAGTGTTATAAATATTATAAGTGATTTAATTGAACCCAGTAGCCCTTTAATTGATGAAAGTAAAAAAGTTACATATGCATCTTGTAATACTTCTAGTACACTTGAAACTGTTGAAGATGATTTCATATTAAATGTAAGTTCAACTGATTCTGATGATGGAGATGAAACTATTTTGTCAGAATATTTTACTGATGATAGAGATCCTATTTTAAAAATGTTATGTCACTGGGCAGTTTCATATAACATAACTAACGTAGCTCTTTCTGATTTATTAAAAACTTTGAAAAAACATAAATGTTTTAATTTTTTTCCCGAGGATGCTAGAACAGTTCTTAAAACCAACAAACATATTGACACTAAGCAAGTCCAAGTCATTACACCAGGTATATATTATCATTTTGGTACAAAAATTGGTTTAAAAAGTTTGGGTGATTGGTCCCAATTTCATGATGAAACGATAAAAATTGTAATTGGTATCGATGGCTTGCCATTAACAAAGAGTTCCCAAAGTAGTTTTTGGCCTATTTTAGGATATGTACGTAATTTTCCTGGAAAACCTAAAATATTTTTAGTTGGTTTATATTGGGGTAAAGAAAAAGCAAAGGATAGTAATTTGTTTTTAAAATACATGGTCGATGAATTTAAGGATCTATATAAAATTGGTTTTAAAACCCCCCATGGTACTAAAAAAGTAGTGATAGAACTTTTTTGCTGCGATGCCCCAGCAAAAAGCTATATTTTAAAAACTAAAGGGCACAGTGGTTTCTTTTCGTGTACTAGGTGTAATGTTGAAGGAGTCTATTTAGATAATAGGGTGTGTTTTCCAGATAGAGAATTTATTAAAAAAACTCATTTAGATTTCATCAATCGTACACATGAATAATATCATGTGACTGATAGTGTATCTATTTTGACAGAGCTCCCAGAAGTTGATATGGTTTATAGTTTTAGTTTGGATTATATGCATTTAACTTGTTTAGGGGTTGTTAAGAAATTAATTATGTTGTGGTTAGGAAATATAAAAGGATCACCCATTTCTGTTCGTTTACAAAACCAAAAAGTACAAGAAGTATCAGGTAATTTGTTGTTTTTAAAATCTTCTATGACTTCTGATTTTTCTAGATTTCCCAGAGGGTTAAACGAAGTTCCTAGATGGAAAGCCACTGAATTTAGACTATTTCTTCTTTATATTGGTCCTATAGTCTTAAAAGATATTCTTAACAATGAATGCTATTTACATTTCATGTGTTTGCATATTTGCTTTAGGATTCTTCTAGTTAAAAATAGCAGTGATGAACTTGTTGGATTTGTAGAAAAACTATTGTCATATTTCGTTCAAAAATTTGGTATAATTTACGGACAGAAATTTATGTCTCACAACGTACATGGGCTTCTTCATATTGTTGATGACTACAAACAATTTGGTCCTTTAGATGAATTATCTTCTTTTCCTTTTGAAAACTATATGAAGTCCCTAAAAAAAATGGTTCGTAAACATAAAAAACCTTTGGAACAAGTCATTAAGCGATACCAAGAACTTCTTGAGTTTAGTAATAAACCTCCTATATCTAATTTATTGCCTCATAATTCTATTGAGTATAAGAAACCTCATAATAATGGGCCGATATTGGGCAATGTTACTTCACAATTCCAAATTGTCATCGTCAATTATGATGTTAAAATTAAAACTAACTCAATTACAGATTGTTTTATTGGCTTTTCAAAAGAAGGGATATTGCATATTTATAAAGTCTTAAATATTTGTTGTAATCATATAACAGGATTAAATTTTTTTGTCGCCAAGGAATTCAATAATATTGAACCGTTTTATGACAAACCGATAAATAGTTTAAAACTGGGAGTAGCATATGTTTCAAATTTATCAGAAAATATTGTACCTATTACTATTAGTCACTCGTTTCAAAAATATATAGTTTTCAATTTTCATAATAATAAGCAAATTGCGTTACCAATCCTACATTCATTAAATAACTAATATATATATAAATGTTTATTTTTGCAGTAAATAATTTAATAAGGCTTTAAAAATATATAATGATACTCATTTGATATTAAATGTAACTTAAAAAGTTTTATTCATGTATTTATTTTAACAACTTCGTTTTGTTACAGTATAAATTTAGTTATATTAAAAAAATTTTATTTTATATATTTTAGGACACCTAGTTTGTGTAGTTAAGTGTATGTTTTATTATTTTTAGTATGCCATACTCAATTGTTCATTTTTTTGATGACAACACGGTTGAAACGGTCCCAGGACATTGGGTCGACAAAAAACATGGTACCTGTGCTTGGCCTAAAAAAAATAAAACAGCTTCAAGGCTGATTGAAAAAAAAAGTATGCCTAATGAAATTGAATTTGTTTATTTAAATAGCAGAGAATTATACAAAGGCATTGGTAAATATAATATAATATTCCTATTAATTTTTCATATTAGGTCGATATTAAATAGGTTATAGATATGCTTGTATTAAATTTATTATTTAAAGATAAAACTATTGTTATTGTAGATTCATTAGTTGAAGCCAAAAATAAAGCTATAAAAGCTATGACCAATACTGATTTATCATCTGCAGATGAAACAGTTCGAGTTAGAAGAAAACCCCGAAAAGAAATTATGCATTCTCCTACTTCATCTACGAATTCTTGCCCATTGTTTTCAGGTAAAAAATGCACGATATATTGTGCCTTATTTTCAAATACCAATTGATTTAAATTTATTTTAATCAATGTACCTATCATAAATTAAACAATTATAATGTATAAAATTGAATGATATACCAGTTAATACTTTTAATATGAATATCATTTGATTTTAATTTAGATTCTGATAATGATGATTTGCCATGTAACAAATCTAAGTTAAGTACAACTGCTATGATTAACTCTGAACATTTAAGTGATCGTTCTTCATCGCCAACAGTTTTAAAAGTACCTGTAGCTGTTATTAATGGTAAAGTGGTATTATATTTTACTGTTTTTTTGTCATATTTGAAATATAGCAATTATATTTAAAAATGTATTTGTTATAGACTTATACAGTTATTTTTAACTATTGTATTATAAATAGGTATTGATTCAGAAAAAAAAATTGATGTATAATAAGGATCCTAACTGTTCATCGCCTGTAGTCATGAGTCCATCAGATAAAACCATCAAATTGATGAACAATAGAAAAAACCAAAATGGTTGGTCGCCATTAAAGTTGGATAATCTAGCTAGCAGTTATGAAGGTATCTTATTATTTTAATGAATTAGTATTTTAGTGAATGGTTAAAATTTAACCCATCTTATATAAATAATGGTATTTTTTTTAGATCCTAATAGAGAACCCCGCTCTATGAAGCAGTGTTCATCCAAACAAAAATCTTCAAACGAAACTTTGAAACCATTTAGTAAAAAACAATTCAGTTACACTGAACCTTATTTATCCTCAAAAAGAAGCATTGAATGTAATATGCTTTTGTTATTAAATGTATTTTTATTTATAAAATAGTTTATTTATTAACCTATTGTAAAATGTTTCATTATAATCAGGGCTCGTAACTTCATGCACTAAAAAATGCATAAATAAGCATGCATTCATGCACTAAAAATTGTCAAAATATGCATTAAAATATGCACTTAAAAGTTCAAAAATATGCATTTATATGCATTAACATTTTTAAATTATGCACTCAAAATATGCATTATGTAAAAAAAACATGACCAAATTTTAAAATAATAAGAATAAATCCATACATTTTAAAAGTATTTTATTCCTCCTAATTTTTATATATTTAACAGTCAAAATTAATAAAATAAAAAATAAAATTAATACTTGTGAAGTTCAAATAGCTTTGTCATCTTTATAAATTTTAATTAGGTAGTCAATTTTGTCTAATTTGTGTACACCCTTATTCAGCACCAGCAATGAAAACATTTGGAATGAAATATTAGGTTTTTCATTTTGAGATAATTTAGTAATATATATTTTATAAGTGTTTTTTTTATGTTTTCCAACAAGAGGGCGCATAAGTAGACAAAATATGGCATAAAACCATGGTTTCGTAATTCAAGTAATACGGCTTATTGAAGTGGTTTACAGTAAAAATACCTATTATAAAAATTGTAAAGTAGAACTTTTTTTACAATCGTAAGAAGCCTGATTTTCGATATTTTTATTAATTAGCTAAATAATTATTCAAAAAAAAATTTAAAAAACCGTTATAATTTACCATGCGATATTGGACGATTGGAACAAGATATCAAAAACCGGAAGAAACTTTTCAAATATTTGTCTAAAAAATATTTTTATGAAATAATATGCACTAACGACTGTAAAAAATCAACTATATGCCAAATATGACTTTACACCCAAAACATGCAAAAACATGCACTATCAAACTTCATATTATTATTACTATTGTTATGAAACGGATTTGTATCTCAGTTAGCATGTTTTCCTGTGTGGCAAAAAAAACATGCAGATGCATGAACTTACGAGCCCTGATTATAATTATTGATATTATTTTTAACTATTGTATTATAAATAGGTATTGATTCAGAAAAAAAATTGATGTATAATAAGGATCCTAACTGTTCATCATCTGTAGTCATGAGTCCATCAGATAAAACCATCAAATTGATGAACAATAGAAAAAACCAAAATGGTTGGTCGCCATTAAAGTTGGATAATCTAGCTAGCAGTTATGAAGGTATCTTATTATTTTAATGAATTAGGATTTTAGTGAATGATAAAAATTTAACCCATCTTATAAATAATGGTATTTTTTTTTAGATACTAATAGAGAGCCCCGCTCTATGAAGCAGTGGTCATCCAAACAAAAATCTTCAAACGAAACTTTGAAACCATTTAGTGAAAAACAATTCTTTAACACTGAACCTTTATCCTCAAAAAGAAGCATTGAATGTAATATGCTTTTGTTACTTAATGTATTTTTATTTATAGTATAATATATTTATCAGACGGTTGTAAAATGTTTGATTTAGATAATAGTGAGCCACTATTGAAAAAAAAGCCACCGTCCAAAGATACATCTGCACACATGCGTTCATCTGGTAGTCAACAACAATGTGGTTCATCATTTTCAAAAATAAATGTCAAAAGTAATGCGTTTATATATTTACAGTTTAAATTTAAAACGATTTGAAAACTAAGTACTATTTTTTAGTAAGTTTGAACCATTTTAACTTAAAAAAAAATTTATATATCAAAAATTGGCCAACGGTAGTATACCAAACAACATATCTAGAATATGTATTCAAAGTTACAGACTCCTAACTATAAAACATAAAACAGTGGAAAGGAACTTAAAATGCAAAATTCCCACTTTTAGACACAATTTACTGCTAAAAAAATTTACCAAAATTTTTTTTAATATTTTTTAGTTTCATCTTAAACCTAGTTTTAACTATAGGAATTCTCAATTTAACGACTTAATCAAAAAAAAAAAAAAAATTACTGGAAATTCCCCCTTAAATGTTTTTCAGATAACAAACAAGGTGTAGTGCGAAAATTGTTTTACAGCTCAAATAAGCCAGATGAGTTATGTGTCTCACATTCCAATTCTTCCGATAAAGGAAAAAAATATGATGTGGAACACCCTGGTTCAACCCATAGTGTTGTAGCAGAAGATACTTCTCAACACTATTCAAACACTATGAGTAATTACAATATAATAATTTATAAGCTACACATATTTTACCAATACTTGAACAACTATTTCTAAAAATGAAATATACAAAATAGCTATACATACTATTTAATCTTTTAGTTTTTACATTTTAATCTTATTGTGACGACCAAATTAAAAATTAGATTTAATTAAAGTACCTATTAAAATATAAAATTCAAAAATATTATATTACATTTGTTAAATTTTCTCAATACACTGTATACATGTACATCTCGTGTCTTGACATATATATACATCTCATATCTACATAAACATACTTAAATTTATTCTTGTATAAACTGCTACACCTTTTATTTGATTGAAAATTATATTTTAATTATTTTATATTTTTAGATTTTCAAAAGCAGGTATTGCGCATGCTAACATACTTAACAAGTGAAGTAAGATATTTAGAATCTGGACAGGTAGAAATACTAAAAAAAATTGAAAACGCAGCTGACAACAACTACAGTAATTCTGAAACGTTAACCGAAAGTCTGTTCAATGATTTAACAGATTGTCCATTACCTATTGACAACATAACAGATCTCAATACTCTTGAGGATAAGATCTCTGGGGACAAAAATTTTCGTAACAAATTGGTAATTAAATATTTAATGATAAAGTTTAAAATAATTTAATATTTTTTAAATTCTTGATTAGGTAAATGAACTATCTTGTACGGGCGGAAAAAATTTAAGATTAATGGTAAAAAGAATAATGAACACATTATTTGCTGATGAACTTATGTCTCAATTTTCTTTTACCGGAAAGAAGGGAAAAAACAAATTCAACAATTTGTTTGTATGCGCTGTTATTTTTGGTAAGTTGTGTGTATATTATTGAATGTTAATTATATATGTTGATGAGGAGGATTTGAGAGGAGAATACTAAGGATCGTAGTAAGTGGAAATTGACAACCCCAAATAGTTGGAAGAGAATAAGGCGAAGGAAAAGAAGAAGAATTATGTTGATTATATTCTCCTATGGTACCATAGCTATTTGTTAATTACGAGTATTAACAAACAATATAATATTCAAAAAATTATAACATAGAAACTCATTATTTTTAAAAAGCACCTGTAACATTTTGTCTTAGATTATAGATTAATTATATATAAAATTAGATGAAATGTGCTAAAAGATTTTATGTTGTATACATATATATAATTTATTGTAAATACAAAATATTTTTCAGATTCTATTAAAAAAAGCAACAAATTATGCAAGGCAGCATCAATAGATGAGATTGAAGAAAGAATTAAATATAACTTGGCGCAAGCACCATTCAATAAG